CACCAACCCATATCTACAGATTGATCTACAGACACTTCATATCGTCTGTGCTGTTTCCACTCAAGGGAATTCTCAAGTAGATCAGTGGGTGAAGAATTACACACTACAACTTTCCATCGATGGAACAACTTGGACAGACTACAAGGAAGGTGGACAAGTTAAGGTACCTGTATGAGACATACATATTGTGTATACTTCAAGACATCATTGTTCAGAGAACTATTTTCTTGCACTCACTTGTAACTGTGAGTATTTCTAAATATACAATAATGTTGAAGACTTAATCAGAGAATCGACCTTTTTACTTCAAGAAAACATTTTTTGAGGAGATATAAGGATTTGTCTCCTTTTTCTTTTAAAGATTCTAGATGGAAATCACGACCGAAACTCACAGGTCAAACATGCTGTTTATGGAGTCTTAACAAAATATCTCCGATTTTTGCCTCAAACTCACCAGGGTGGGGTGTGTATGAGAACAGAATTGTTTGGAGTAACACAAAAGCCAAGTGAGTTTGAAACGTAGTAATTGTTCACTTTATATGTAATTTTGAACTGGGTGATATTCAGTATCCAAAAAGTACCTAGTACATCAACCTTATAGATTGTCCCCTCATCTATAAAGTAAGATTCCAGCCTAATTAATTCTTAACCTATTAGCTGGGCCATTTTTGTAATACTTGTTATTCTGACTAATGAGTTTTAAAGATACAAATTACTTTGAATTCTCTCATCCATTAAAAAAGTAAGCAACAACAACATAATACCATTTAGTTTTGAAAAATATTGAAATACAAATTACTCAGACAAAGACTTGACCCTTTAACTCCCAAAAGTGATTAACATATAACTTCTCCCTTTAGTATCCAAACATAATCCAGCAGACAGGTGGTGAGAATACTCAAACTTATCGGGTACAAGATATTATCTTGATTGAACAACAAATTCTCATACCCAATTTACAAGGAAATGTGTGGGAGCTAGAGGGGAGGATAAGCAATCAGATCTTGGGAGTTAAAGGGTTAAGATGCTAGAAGTTAATGATGAAAAGATTGTCCATGAAATGAATTTGAAAATGATTTTTCACGTTTAATTATGGATCATTATTTTGCAGTGTGTTATACCCAGGCCATTGGTGTAGCCAGGACTGGTACCATTCCAGACAGCAGCTTCTCTTCCTCGTCAAACTATAATTCAGTTTATACAGCAAAATATGGCCGCTTAAATGGGGTAAAGTCATGGGCACCTCGTGGTAACAATAATGCTAATGATTACCTCCAAATTGACCTGCTGTTTGAGTATGTCATCTGTGCTGTAGCTACACAGGGAAATCCAAGGGCCAATGAGTGGACAACAAACTACAAGTTAAGATTATCCCTTGATAATGCAAGTTTTATCAACTATCAGGAAAACAGTACTGACAAGGTGGGTTTAGATGCAGCCATAAATGCAGAGGGTGTAGTACTTTCTTAGGCCATTAAGTGCGTCTGGCAGATCAATTCGAAGATTTAACTTCTTCCTCAGGCAATCCCTAGGCTGTCTAAATTTGGAGGAAGGTGGGAAAGGGAATTGTGTTCAAATTCCTCATCCAAGTACAGGATCTGATGGTCAGTTTTTTGTAAAAGGCAAAATCAGTAATGGCGACTTAATACACACTGACCAACATTTTTAAAAGACTTAGACCTTGTAGTCCATTTCTGTTGAGCCATTTTTCTTGCAAAAATGAACTATTTACTAGACAGAAGTGAGACCTTCATTCCAAGAGTTTGTTTGACACTTTAAGAGTTTGTTTGGTGATTCAGCATTTCGAGTGACGAGGATAGAAACAAAAGTGTCTACTTGGTGAAGAATTAGCATCAATTCTCTTTTCAGTGAATCACAGACTGTTTTTGAAACATGTATTGTTCTCTTAACCAGAAACACAAATCTGTGCGCATGCAGCTACTGTTACTTGTACGTGTAATTACAGCTCACTTTTAGCATCCTGCATGTATTTGTTGTTAAGTTTGTGACATCTAGAATTATTATCATGTATGTCTTAACATACCATAGTGACTGTAATTTACCTGTTTTCTTGAAAATCCATGAGATATTTTCCTACCTTATTGCATCAGGGATAATGCATTCAGCTATCCACACAGGTATACTAATATATATATTTTTTATTTTGGAGTGCTTCCTCCTACCCACCAGGATGATTTTTCTGCTTCTCATACACAGACACTTATTGGTACTTTTCTAAAAAGATACATGAATAAATTACTCAATTCTGATTGGTTAAGATAAATACAGTTTTCAGGTAATTCAATGCAAACCAGACTGAATAATTCCTTGAACTTTTTAGCCGGACTATGAACTTTTTTGCGCCTCAAAGATGCAAAAATATCATTGTATAATTATTATTGTTTTGATTGTACAGGGTTGTTTTGACCGAACACACAATGTAACTAGCAAGGTTTGAATAAATTATTTTTGCACTTGATGCACACACTTTGCTTCTGCATAATTATGATAAGCTATGTCGTATTTTTTCGTATATATTACTAATACATAATTATATGATTTTTCTCGTGCAATTTGGAATAAATATGTACTTCTAAATTTTTTCAAAGACCACAAATTGCACTTGCCCTATT